CAGTACAGTGGGGAAAACAACAAATAGAATGCCTCCCCGGAAACTACAGCAGATATAGATCAATGAAAAAGACATAGAAGAAAAGGAAGGGTAAGGAACAATATAGAAGAAAAGGAGGAGAAAAGGGAAGAGGATAAGGTCGGAAAAGAGACAAGGGCACTCCAGGTTCCCTGCAGGTCAGAAACATCTGGCTACAGCAGGGAAAACAACAGATAGAATGCCTCCCCGGAAACTACAGCAGGTATAGATCAATGAAAAAGACATAGAAGAAAAGGAAGGGTAAGTAACAATATAGAAGAAAAGGAGGAGAAAAAGGGAAGAGGATAAGATCGGAAAAGAGACAGGGGCACTCCAGGTTCCCTGCGGGTCAGAAACATATGGCTACAGTGGCGAAAACAACAGATAGAATGCCTCCACGGAAACGACAGCAGATATAGATCAATGAAAAAGACATAGAAGAAAAGGAAGGGTAAGGAACAATATAGAAGAGAAGGAGGAGAAAAGGGAAGAGGATAAGGTAGGAAAAGAGACAAGGGCACTCCAGGTTCCCTGCAGGTCAGAAACATCTGGCTACAGTGGCGAAAACAACAGATAGAATGCCTCCCCGGAAACTACAGCAGATATAGATCAATGAAAAAGACATAAGAAAAGGAAGGGTAAGGAACAATATTCAAGGAAAGGAGGAGAAAAGGGAAGAGGATAAGATAGGAAAAGAGACAAGGGCACTCCAGGTTCCCTGCGGGTCAGAAACATATGGCTACAGTGCGGAAAACAACGGATAGAATGCCTCCCCGCAAACTACAGCAGATATAGATCAATGAAAAAGACATAGAAGAAAAGGAAGGGTAAGGAACAATATAGAAGAAAAGGACGAGAAAAGGGAAGAGGATAAGGTCGGAAAAGAGACAAGGGCACTCCAGGTTCCCTGCGGGTCAGAAACATATGGCTGCAGTGGGGAAAACAACAGATAGAATGCCTCCCCGGAAACTACAGCAGATATAGATCAATGAAAAAGGCATAGAAGAAAAGGAAGGGTAAGGAACAATATAGAAGAAAAGGAGGAGAAAAGGGAAGAGGATAAGATCGGAAAAGAGACAAGGGCACTCCAGGTTCCCTGCGGGCCAGAAACATATGGCTTCAGTGCGGAAAACAACAGACAGAATGCCTCCCCGGAAACTACAGCAGATATAGATTAATGAAAAAGACATAGAAGAGAAGGAAGAGTAATTAAGGAACAATATAGAAGAAAAGGAGGAGAAAAGGGAAGAGGATAAGATCTGAAAAGAGACAAGGGCACTCCAGGTTCCCTGCGGGTCAGAAACATATGGCTACAGTGCGGAAAACAACAGATAGAATGCCTCCCGGGAAACTACAGCAGATATAGATCCATGAAAAAGACATAGAAGAAAAGGAAGGGTAAGGAACAATATAGAAGAAAAGGAGGAGAAAAAGGGAAGAGGATAAGGTCGGAAAAGAGACAAGGGCACTCCAGGTTCTCTGCAGGTCAGAAACATCTGGCTACAGCAGGGAAAACAACAGATAGAATGCCTCCCCGCAAACTACAGCAGATATAGTTCAATGAAAAAGACATAGAAGAAAAGGAAGAGTAAGGAACAATATAGAAGAAAAGGAGGAGAAAAGGGAAAAGGATAAGGTCGGAAAAGAGACAAGGGCACTCCAGGTTCCCTGCGGGTCAGAAACATATGGCTACAGTGGGGAAAACAGCAGATAGAATGCCTCCCCGGAAACTACAGTAGATATAGATCAATGAAAAAGACAGAAGACAAGGAAGAGTAATTAAGGAACAATGAAAAAGAAAAGGAGGAGGAAAGGGAAGAGGATAAGATCGGAAAAGAGACAGGGGCACTCCAGGTTCCCTGCGGGTCAGAAACATATGGCTACAGCGGGGAAAACAACAGATAGAATGCCTCCCCGGAAACTACAGCAGATATAGATCAATGAAAAAGGCATAGAAGAAAAGGAAGGGTAAGGAAGAATATAGAAGAAAAGGAGGAGAAAAGGGAAGAGGATAAGATCGGAAAAGAGACAAGGGCACTCCAGGTTCCCTGCAGGTCAGAAACATATGGCTACAGTGCGGAAAACAACAGATAGAATGCCTCCCCGGAAACTACAGCAGATATAGATTAATGAAAAAGGCATAGAAGAGAAGGAAGAGTAATTAAGGAACAATATAGAAGAAAAGGAGGAGAAAAGGGAAGAGGATAAGATCTGAAAAGAGACAAGGGCACTCCAGGTTCCATGCAGGTCAGAAACATATGGCTACAGTGCGGAAAACAACAGATAGAATGCCTCCCGGGAAACTACAGCAGATATAGATCCATGAAAAAGACATAGAAGAAAAGGAAGGGTAAGGAACAATATAGAAGAAAAGGAGGAGAAAACGGAAGAGGATAAGGTCGGAAAAGAGACAAGGGCACTCCAGGTTCCCTGCGGGTCAGAAACATATGGCTACAGTGGGGAAAACAGCAGATAATCAGCAGATAGAATGCCTCCCCGGAAACAGCAGCAGATATAGGTCAATGAAGAAAACATAGAAGAAAAGGAAGGGTAAGTAACAATATAGAAGAAAAGGAGGAGAAAAGGGAAGAGGATAAGATCGGAAAAGAGACAAGGGCACTCCAGGTTCCCTGCGGGTCAGAAACATATGGCTACAGCAGGGAAAACAACAGATAGAATGCCTCCTCGGAAACTACAGCAGATATAGATCAATGAAAAAGACATAGAAGAAAAGGAATGGTAAGGAAAAAATACAGAAGAAAAGGAGGAGAAAAGGGAAGAGGATAAGGTCGGAAAAGAGACAAGGGCACTCCAGGTTCCCTGCGGGTCAGAAATATATGGCTACAGTGGGGAAAACAGCAGATAGAATGCCTCCCCGGAAACTACAGCAGATATAGATCAATGAAAAAGACAAAAGAAAAGGAAGGGTAAGGAACAATACAGAAGAAAAGGAGGAGAAAAGGGAAGAGATAAGATCGGAAAAGAGACAAGGGCACTCAAGGTTCCCTGCGGGTCAGAAACATATGGCTACAGTGGCGAAAACAACAGATAGAATGCCTCCCCGGAAACTACAGCAGATATAGATTAATGAAAAAGGCATAGAAGAAAAGGAAGGGTAAGGAACAATATACAAGGAAAGGAGGAGAAAAGGGAAGAGGATAAGATCGGAAAAGAGACAAGGGTTCCCTGCGGGTCAGAAACATATGGCTACAGTGGGGAAAACAGCAGATAGAATGCCTCCCCGGAAACTACAGCAGATATAGATCAATGAAAAAGACATAGAAGAAAAGGAAGAGTAAGGAACAATATAGAAGAAAAGGAGGAGAAAAGGGAAGAGGATAAGGTCGGAAAAGAGACAAGGGCACTCCAGGTTCCCTGCGGGTCAGAAACATATGGCTACAGTGGGGAAAACAACAGATAGAATGCCTCCCCGGAAACTACAGCAGATATAGATCAATGAAAAAGACATAGAAGAAAAGGAAGGGTAAGGAACAATATAGAAGAAAAGGAGGAGAAAAGGGAAGAGGATAAGGTCGGAAAAGAGACAAGGGCACTCCAGGTTCCCTGCGGGTCAGAAACATATGGCTACAGTGGGGAAAACAACAGATAGAATGCCTCCCCGGAAACTACAGCAGATATAGATCAATGAAAAAGACATAGAAGAGAAGGAAGGGTAAGGAACAATATAGAAGAAAAGGAGGAGAAAAGGGAAGAGGATAAGGTCGGAAAAGAGACAAGGGCACTCCAGGTTCCCTGCGGGTCAGAAACATATGGCTACAGTGGGGAAAACAACAGATAGAATGCCTCCCCGGAAACTACAGCAGATATAGATCAATGAAAAAGACATAGAAGAAAAGGAAGGGTAAGTAACAATATAGAAGAAAAGGAGGAGAAAAGGGAAGAGGATAAGGTCGGAAAAGAGACAAGGGCACTCCAGGTTCCCTGCGGGCCAAAAACATATGGCTACAGTGGCGAAAACAACTGATAGAATGCGTCCCTGGAAACTACAGCAGATATGGGTCAATGAAAAAGGCATAGAAGAAAGGGAAGGGTAAGTAACAATATAGAAGAACAGGAGGAGAAAAGGGAAGAGGATAAGATAGGAAAAGAGACAAGGGCACTCCAGGTTCCCTGCGGGTCAGAAACATATGGCTACAGTGCGGAAAACAACGGATAGACTAGAATGCCTCCCCGGAAACTACAGCAGATATAGATCAATGAAAAAGACATAGAAGAAAAGGAAGGGTAAGGAACAATATAGAAGAAAAGGACGAGAAAAGGGAAGAGGATGAGGTCGGAAAAGAGACAAGGGCATGACAAGGGCATTCCAGGTTCCCTGCGGGTCAAAAACATATGGCTACAGTGGCGAAAACAACAGATAGAATGCCTCCCCGGAAACTACAGCAGATATGGGTCAATGAACAAGGCATAGAAGAAAGGGAAGGGTAAGTAACAATATAGAAGAACAGGAGGAGAAAAGGGAAGAGGATAAGATCGGAAAAGAGACAATGGCACTCCAGGTTCCCTGCGGGTCAGAAACATATGGCTACAGCAGGGAAAACAACAGATAGAATGCCTCCCGGGAAACTACAGCAGATATAGATCAATGAAAAAGACATAGAAGAAAAGGAAGGGAAAGGAACAATATAGAAGAAAAGGAGGAGGCATTCTAACTGTATTTCGCCTGTAAAATACCAGTCAAAACTTACATTTTCTTACCAATTTTGGCGCCGCATTCTAATTGTGTTTCTGCATATTTACAGGTGTTTCCTCAGTTAGAATGCGACTGCCGTGGGGGGGGGCCAAACGGGCCACCATCACGCGAAGCCAAAACCGCATTCTAACTTTGTTTTTAACGGTATATGTCTATCAAATTCAACATTATTCAACGTGATATTATGATCTATGATGTAATAATTATGTAATATATGATGTATATAATGTGGACATGATATCCACATATATCCACATCAATGTGCTACCTGTCCCTGGTGCCCATCCCAAGGCCCAAAGAATTCACGCCGCGGTACCACCAGCTCCACCGGGTGGTGGCCCGGCAGCGAAATTTTGACCGCTGAAGGGAACAGCTCCGCCCCCTGAGATGGAAGTTCTACGGGGAAACCTTGGGAATATGATGGGTACATACAGTAATGGAATATGTCGAGGAACCAGCATGATACCGGGTTTAATCTGAAAACGGCGATATAATCCACAAAAATATCAAGAATCATGGTTTTGTTGGTGCTATTTGGGGATATGACCGAGTGGAACTAAGGGGATATCGGATATGATGCGGATACTTTGGGATATGTCCGGCAAACAATAGGGCTTGGTCTGATTTAAACATGATGCTATGAAGATATTATTGGGAATTAATGAGATACTAATGGGATACACTACCAAGAACAATCTTGAAGTTTTAATCTTCAATACAAGGGAAGGCGGGCCCCAAGGCATTCAGACTTGGGAGCGCCTCATGCCCAAACGCGATAAATTTCGTATTTAATGTCCCCCCACAAAAATGAAAGCAAAAGTATGAACATATTACGATATATGATGTAATGTGTACGTGTACGACATAACAATAAATTTAAATATTATAATATATAGAATTATATATATGTCTATCAAATTCAACATTATTCAACGTGATATTATGATCTATGATGTAATAATTATGTAATATATGATGTATATAATGTGGACATGATATCCACATATATCCACATCAATGTGCTACCTGTCCCTGGTGCCCATCCCATGGCCCAAAGAATTCACGCCGCGGTACCACCAGCTCCACCGGGTGGTGGCCCGGCAGCGAAATTTTGACCGCTGAAGGGAACAGCTCCGCCCCCTGAGATGGAAGTTCTACGGGGAAACCTTGGGAATATGATGGGTACATACAGTAATGGAATATGTCGAGGAACCAGCATGATACCGGGTTTAATCTGAAAACGGCGATATAATCCACAAAAATATCAAAAATCATGGTTTTTTGGTGCTATATGGGGATATGACCGAGTGGAACTACGGGGATATCGGATATGATGCGGATACTTTGGGATATGTCCGGCAAACAATAGGGCTTGGTCTGATTTAAACATGATGCTATGAAGGTATTATTGGGAATTAATGAGATACTAATTGGATACACTACCAAGAACAATCTTGAAGTTTTAATCTTCAATACAAGGGAAGGCGGGCCCCAAGGCATTCAGACTTGGGAGCGCCTCATGCTCAGACTTGAGAATATCATGTGTTCAAACTTGAGAACTGCATTTCTTTCTTCCGAAAAGAATATGTTAGTAAAGCCCTCCGCAATTCAAACCGCAGCCTCTTTAGTTTCTCGGAAGGGTAGGTTTTGTGGCCGATGTGCTGAACATGTCTATACATGTCTTGACATATTTTGAAGACAGATTTGCACGTATCTACGGTACCAATCCTAACAGTGCTTTCAAGACATTGCAAATTCCAATCAAAGATGCTACTTAATTGGTTGGTACCAGGGGGACCACACATATGTCTATTATTACTTACAAACATGTGCTGCATGTATATAAACTGATGTTAATTCAAATTCAATGTATATTTTTGTACTTGATGCAATGTGTACATAAGATCCACATCAATGTCCTCCCTGTCTCTGGTTCCCACCCCATGGCCAAAAGAATTCACGCCGCGGTACCACCAGCTCCACCGGGTGGTGGCCCGGCAGCGAAATTTTGACCGCCGCTGAAGGGAACAGCTCCGCCCCCTGAGATGGCACTGTGATGATTATAGTGCTCAGAGTTGAGAAAATCATGTGTTCAAACTTGAGAATTTCCTCCGAAAAAAGAAATATTGGTAACCCCAACAAAGGTAGGTTTTGGGGCCGATGTGCTTTCTTTGTGGGGGCGGGTGCTGAGCATTAACATATTTTGAAAACAGATTTGCACATATCTATGGGACGAAAATGAACCCAAAAAACAAATCCTAACAGTGCTTGCAAGACATTGCAAATTCCAATCAAAGATGCTACTTAATTGGTTGGTACCAGGGGGACCACACATGTCTATTATCACTTACAAACATGTGCTGCATGTATATAAACTGATGTTAATTCAAATTCAATGTATATTTTTATACTTGATGCAATGTGTACATAAGATCCACATCAATGTCCTCCCTGTCTCTGGTTCCCACCCCATGGCCAAAAGAATTCACGCCGCGGTACCACCAGCTCCACCGGGTGGTGGCCCGGCAGCGAAATTTTGACCGCTGAAGGGAACAGCTCCGCCCCCTGAGATGGAAGTTCTACGGGGAAACCTTGGGAATATGATGGGTACATACAGTAATGGAATATGTCGAGGAACCAGCATGATACCGGGTTTAATCTGAAAACGGCGATATAATCCACAAAAATATCAAAAATCATGGTTTTTTGGTGCTATATGGGGATATGACCGAGTGGAACTACGGGGATATCGGATATGATGCGGATACTTTGGGATATGTCCGGCAAACAATAGGGCTTGGTCTGATTTAAACATGATGCTATGAAGGTATTATTGGGAATTAATGAGATACTAATTGGATACACTACCAAGAACAATCTTGAAGTTTTAATCTTCAATACAAGGGAAGGCGGGCCCCAAGGCATTCAGACTTGGGAGCGCCTCATGCTCAGACTTGAGAATATCATGTGTTCAAACTTGAGAACTGCATTTCTTTCTTCCGAAAAGAATATGTTAGTAAAGCCCTCCGCAATTCAAACCGCAGCCTCTTTAGTTTCTCGGAAGGGTAGGTTTTGTGGCCGATGTGCTGAACATGTCTATACATGTCTTGACATATTTTGAAGACAGATTTGCACGTATCTACGGTACCAATCCTAACAGTGCTTTCAAGACATTGCAAATTCCAATCAAAGATGCTACTTAATTGGCTGGTACCAGGGGGACCACACATATGTCTATTATTACTTACAAACATGTGCTGCATGTATATAAACTGATGTTAATTCAAATTCAATGTATATTTTTATACTTGATGCAATGTGTACATAAGATCCACATCAATGTCCTCCCTGTCTCTGGTTCCCACCCCATGGCCAAAAGAATTCACGCCGCGGTACCACCAGCTCCACCGGGTGGTGGCCCGGCAGCGAAATTTTGACCGCCGCTGAAGGGAACAGCTCCGCCCCCTGAGATGGCACTGTGATGATTATAATGCTCAGAGTTGAGAAAATCATGTGTTCAAACTTGAGAATTTCCTCCGAAAAAAGAAATATTGGTAACCCCAACAAAGGTAGGTTTTGGGGCCGATGTGCTTTCTTTGTGGGGGCGGGTGCTGAGCATTAACATATTTTGAAAACAGATTTGCACATATCTATGGGACGAAAATGAACCCAAAAAAACAAATCCTAACAGTGCTTGCAAGACATTGCAAATTCCAATCAAAGATGCTACTTAATTGGTTGGTACCAGGGGGACCACACATGTCTATTATCACTTACAAACATGTGCTGCATGTATATAAACTGATGTTAATTCAAATTCAATGTATATTTTTATACTTGATGCAATGTGTACATAAGATCCACATCAATGTCCTCCCTGTCTCTGGTTCCCACCCCATGGCCAAAAGAATTCACGCCGCGGTACCACCAGCTCCACCGGGTGGTGGCCCGGCAGCGAAATTTTGACCGCCGCTGAAGGGAACAGCTCCGCCCCCTGAGATGGCACTGTGATGATTATAATGCTCAGAGTTGAGAAAATCATGTGTTCAAACTTGAGAATTTCCTCCGAAAAAAGAAATATTGGTAACCCAAACAAAGGTAGGTTTTGGGGCCGATGTGCTTTCTTTGTGGGGGCGGGAGCTGAGCATGAACATATTTTGAAAACAGATTTGCACATATCTATGGGACGAAAATGAACCCAAAAAAACAAATCCTAACAGTGCTTGCAAGACATTGCAAATTTCAATCAAAGATGTTACTTAATTGGTTAGTACCAGGGGGACCACACATGTCTATTATCACTTACAAACATGTGTTGCATAATATATATATATGATGTATATATATGATATATATATATATTTATATATGATGTATATATAATAATATATATATACTGTATATATATAATGTATACATATATATATATAATGTATACATATATATATATGATGTATATATATATATATATGATGTATATATATATATGATGTATATATATATATGATGTATATATATATATATGATGTATATATATGATGTGTATATATATATGATGTGTATATATATATGATGTATATATATATATATGTATGATGTATATATATATATATAATACATATGTATATATATATATAATGTATATATATATAATGTTTATATATATAATGTGTATATATATATAATGTATATATATATTATGTATATAATGCATATATATATAATGTATATAAAATATATTTATATTATGTAATATTATGTGTATATATATGTAATGTAATTATATATATATATGTGCATCTTCCAAAATGCCTTAATTTCAGCCTTTTCTCAAATATCAGCCTGCGGACTTTCCGGGCAGAAAATGACACCTCAGGCGGAAAGTGGTTTTATCCATATGTTGAGGTATTCTGATAAGATCCTGGTGGACGATCCAGGTGAAAAGAAATGCTCTGTGGGTGATGTTCGCTGTTTTTTTATTCTGGTTTTGAAATGTGATATTTTTTTTCGGGCGGAAACATCCACGAAACGGGCGAAAACACCCACGAAACAGGCGAAAACACCCGAAATGAGATTTTCCTGAATTTTGAAACAGTAAACTTCTTTAACACTGTTATCCGTCTGGTTTTTTACCTCATGGTATCTCAACAATATATAGTTTTAGTGGGCATCTTAACCAAACATCATCAAAATCACTAAAAACACCATCCGGCAGAAAAAAATACCCCAAACGAAAAGATTCCATTCGGGCTAAAATATCAGCCTGAACAGATTCGGGTTGAAAAAACGGCCTGCGGAAGGCCTAAGTATATATACATACATTATATTATTTATATATATATATTTATTTATTTATATTTATTTATTTATATTATATTATATATATACAATGTATTAATATTTATATATATATTAATATATTTATATATATATTCAACATTGTTCAACATGATGTTAATTCAAATGTATACGTTTTTTCCCCACCTGCCAGGTGAGGGTTGTTAGATTTTATGTCAGTTGCCTGCTCCTCCTCTCCTCTTCTCCTCTCCTCCTCCTCGTCGTCCTCCTCGTCGTCCTCCTCGTCGTCCTCCTCGTCGTCCTCCTCGTCCAACTGCGACCCGCGATCCACAGTGTTCTCTGTCGGACCTCAACCACGACCATCCCCGCCCAGTGTTCCCTGCCGGACCTCAACCACGACCATCCACGCCCAGTGTTCCCTGCCGGACCTCAACCACGACCATCCACGCCCAGTGTTCCCTGCCGGACCTCAACCACGACCATCCACGCCCAATGTTCCCTGCCGGACCTCAACCACGACCATCCCCGCCCAGTGTTCCCTGCCGGACCTCAACCACGACCATCCACGCCCAGTATTCCCTGCCGGACCTCAACCGCGAGTATCCACGCCAAGTGTTCCCTGCCGGACCTCATGTAGGAAGATATGGGACAAAGAATGTGCAGAAGAAAGTTAGAAAGAATGTCAGAAAGATTTTCAGAAGATATGCCAGATAGAATGCCAAATAGAATGCCAGATAGAATGCCAGATAGAATGCCAGAAGATATGTCAGAATATATGCCAGAAGATATGCCAGATAGAATGCCAGATAATATGCCAGAA